CTTTTCAATCAGCTATGAACGATTTGCTTCGACCATACTTAAGACGGTTTGTGTTAGTTTTCTTTGATGACATTTTAATTTACAGTTCTTCAATTTCTGATCATGCCAAGCACTTAAAATTGATTTTAGATTTACTATTGTCTAATCAGTTTTATGCAAAATTGTCAAAGTGTGTTTTTGCTGTTCCTAGTGTTGATTATTTAGGTCATATTATCTCATGCAATGGTGTAACCCCAGATCCAACTAAGATTCAAGCTATTCTTGATTGGCCAAGGCCACGCTCACTCACGGCACTCAGGGGTTTTTTAGGTCTCACCGGCTTTTATCGACGATTTGTTCGCCACTACGCCACTCTCGCCGCTCCCCTCACCGATTTATTGAGTTCCACTAAATTACATTGGGGTACAGATGCAGAGCATGCTTTTACAACTTTGAAAAATAAAATGACAAATCCACCAGTCTTGTGCCTCCCAGATTTCTCCCTTCCTTTTGTTCTGGAAACAGATGCTTCAGCGGTTGCAATCGGAGCAGTTTTATCTCAGCAAGGACATCCAATTGCCTTCTTCAGCAAAAAAATGTGCAAACGGCTTCAAGCTTCTTCAGTGTATGTTCGAGAAATGTTTGCCATTACCGAATCTGTCAAGAAATGGAGACAATATTTAATTGGAAGACATTTTCATATTTATACAGATCAAAAGAGTCTAAAAAATTTGCTCGTACAAACTATACAAACTCCAGAACAACAAAAATGGGCTGCTAAACTGCAAGGATTCCATTTTGATATTCATTACAAACCTGGGAAAGCGAATCAAGTAGCGGATGCCCTTAGCAGAATCCAACTTGAGGAGGAGGCCCAGTTCTTCTCGATCTCTTCACCAGTTCCAGCCATTTTGCAGCAGTTGAAATCACACTATCTGTCCACTTCGCAAGGGAAGGCACTCATCAACAAAATTTTGGGAGATCCATCCATCCAACATAATTTTCAGCAAAAGGAAGGTCTTGTCTATTACAAAGATAGAATTTACTTACCCGACATTCCAGAACTGCGGCACAACATCGTCACAGAATTTCATTCCACCCCTACTGGAGGCCATTCTGGTCTTCAACCCACTCTGGCTCGAATGGCATCCTCTTTCTGCTGGCCTGGTATGTACAAAGACACCAAGACATTTATAAAAACCTGCACCAGTTGTCAACAGAACAAATACATGCCTAAAAGAAAACAAGGACTGGTACAACCCTTACCCACACCAACGCAAGTATGGAGTGATTTGAGCATGGACTTCATTACCCACCTTCCTAACTCTCACGGTCACACAGTAATCTGGGTCATTTGCGACAGGTTGACGAAGTTCTCCCACTTCATTGCCCTTCCTTCCCATTTCTCTGCCAAGGATTTGGCCATTCGTTTCTCTGTAGACATCTGTCGTCTGCACGGTGTTCCCACGTCCATTGTATCTGATCGAGACCCCATCTTTCTCAGCACCTTTTGGAAAGAGCTTTTTCGCGTACAGGGTACAACTCTGAAATTTAGTTCAGCGTACCATCCTGAAACAGATGGACAGACAGAGGTAGTTAACAGATGTTTGGAAACCTACTTACGGTGTTTTACAAGTGATAACCCAAAAAGGTGGTTCAACTACTTACACTTGGCGGAATTTTGGTTCAACACGAGTCAACACTCGGCCATCAAGATGTCTCCCTTCGAAGCATTGTACGGTCGCACCCCTCCTTCGTTTCCGTCATACACAGCCGGGTCAGCCACCATCACATCTCTTGATGATTCTCTGAAAGAAAGACACGAACTATTATAAACACTACAACGTAACTTGGCTAAGAGTAAACAACTGATGGAAGACCAGATCAACAAGAAAAGAGTAGAGTGTACCTTTACCGTCGGGGATCGCGTCTTATTGAAACTTCAACCTTACCGACAATCGTCTGTGCACCGCCGCCCCTCGCAGAAACTGGCTAAGAGATATTTCGGTCCTTTTGAGATTAAGCACAAGGTTGGTAGTGTGGCTTACGAACTCGATCTGCCTTCGTCTTCACGAATTCACCCAGTTTTCCACGTCTCTCAGCTACGCCCTTTTCATGTGCGAGACTCTCCTCAGATTCCGATTCCGCCTGAGTTTGAACCACCACCGGAAGGGGAAGACAGGGATGCCGGTGCTCCGTTTGCCACCACCGAGGAACTCCCACACTTGCCGTTGTCTCCCACACATGCAGCTGAGAGTGAGTTTGTGTTACAACCAGCACTCAGAGAGGAGAAGATTAATGTTTGTGGGTTGAAAAAAAACACAAATCTCGTTCAAGTACCCCCACCCCCACTTGTATCTAGTCTTGATGATAATGGGACAGATGGAACGCATGCGTGTGATAATGCAACTTTAATGCCCAACACGCCAACATCGCGCCCCAACGTCTCTCTGATGCCGCCATCTGGACCGTCCATTACCCCACCAACCAGATCCATCGCCTCTCCACCCTTGGATCCAGAGGAAAACCTTTCTGTTGTCCCACTGCCCAACACGCATGCAGGCACGTTTCCTCATGCCTTGCCGCCACCTATTCCCCATGCAGCAGGAGTAGCTGTATCCTGGACCCCACACTCTCCTTTAGTGCAACCAGCTGGATCCACGGTTCATTTCCCAAATCCTGGTACTGTTGGGCCTTCAAATTGGGCCACCGGGTTTAATTCTCAATGCTTCAAACCCATCCTTGAGGACAAGGACGTTTTTGGGCCGGTGAGTAGTGATAGAAGACCCACCAGAATTGCAGCCAAGCCCAAATATTTAAAAGATTTTATTCTCAACTAGTTAATTTTATTTTGTTAATTTTGGACTTTTATATTTCTTTTGGGCCTGGCCCATAGTTGAGACCCTTTAGGGTTATTCTGTTTGTATTTAAGCTGGTGGCTGCATAAATAAAGGAGGGGGAAAAATTAACACAAATTTATTTCTTCTTGTATTTTCTTAGCAATTTAGTTTTGTGTTTGTCCTTGGTTACACCCTAGATTTAGGAATCAATAGTTGTGGAACCTCTTTCTATCACAAGGCTGGTGTAAAGTACTTGCTGCTGAAACTGCTACACACTGTAAATTATTGGTTTTGATTATTAGTTTTATGGTTTTAAATTATTGGTTTTGAATTTTGTAAAACAGGAATTCTGCACACTGTAAAACAAGAATTCTGCACACTGTAAAATAGGAATTCTGGTATTTTGTAACATGCTGCACATTGTAAAACAGGAATTCTGGTACATAATAACATGCTGCACATTCTGGTATTTTGGACCTCAAGCCCGTCATTCAGATTTTGTGAGCATGTCTTTTATATTGATTTACACATACTTGGGCTAATGATAATATGATTGTTTTATGACAGGTCAGAAAGCAAGTGGTTATAAGAAATTCTCGCCGCAGAAAGTTATGTTTCAACTTTATGCAGATAAACTTTTGTTTCAACTGACCTTAAAGTTATGTTGATTGGGTGCTGGAACTGGAAGTTGTGATGATAGATAAGAATTGAAAGTTATGTTGGTTGTGTTATTATGTAGCTTGTCAAGTTTATTTGTAAAATTGTAATGGATTTTATGCTACGAAATTTTATGCTACTGAATGTGATGCTACTGCAATTAATTATAAAATTGTAATGAAATGAATTTTATGCTACGACAAACAATTAAGTTGAATTTTATGCTACTGCAAGCACTTACGTTTTTATGATGAGATTGAAATGTTTTCTAATTAGGGCTTGAACTTTGTATTATGAACTAGTGTAACCCATAAAATTTAAAAAAAAAACAGTTAAAGTGATTATTTTGGATTTGGGCTTGAAAATCCAATAAGCCCATTTAGTAAATTATACCCGCAGTTAACCGACCCAGGTACCCGAATTTGAGCCAACCCGAATCCGAGATAATCAAATATTAACTCAGTCAAAATTGAGCCTCTAAGTGTAATCCGATGGTTACTTTGGATCCGAACCAGCCCGAACCGATGTCCATCTCTATGAATAATAGTCTCGGAAGCTTCTAACAATAACTTCTAAATATAAATTATTTCAAACGCTACGTTTTAACTCATTTAATAAATAGTAAATATTAATAAATTTTTGGCTTAAATGCAGTTTTGACCCCCTAGTTTAAGGTTTTTGGAGTTTCGATCCCTCTAGTTTAAAAGCCAGGTTTCTAGTCCCCAAAATTTTCAAATTTGGGATTTTTGAAGCCCCCTCCATCTGGCTGCCCAAAAAGTGACATGGCAATGCCACGTATTTTTTTTTTTTTTTTTTTTAAAATTTTTTTTTTCTTTCGAACCTTAATTTTGCTCATGAGGAGAAGAAAAAAAAAATTTTAAAAATTTAAAAAAATAAAAATAAAAAAAAATAAAAAAAATAAAAAATAAAAAAAACAAAAAAAAAACGTGGCATTGCCATGTCACTTTTTGGGCAGCCAGATGGAGGGGGCTTCAAAAATCCCAAATTTGAAAACTTTGGGGACTAGAAACCTGACTTTTAAACTAGGGGGATCGAAACTCCAAAAACCTTAAACTAGGGGGTCAAAACTGCATTTAAGCCTAAATTTTTTTATCAAAGTATTAGAAAGTTTAAATAAACAAAATATAAATTAAGAGTTCCCTTAAAATATTTTGTCAAGATAATAAATAAAAATATTGTATTGACTATTGAGAAATTGTATATTTGACTATTTGAAAAATTAGAAGTTGTTTATTTTTATCTTTTGAATTAATGTTTTTAGGGGATTATTTTTTAGCATGACTTCAAAACAAACAAAAAAAACATAGTTGGTCACCTATAACCACACCTCAGCATGTAACAGAAGTGTGAAGCAATAAATCCAATGGTTGACATTAAATGTAAGACTCTTGTCTCTACACTTCACTTTCTCTCTATAAATATGCTTCCAACCTCACTCTTTGGATCACTGTGCTCTCTTCTTCAAACTTCAAAGTTCAAACTCAAAACTTAATATCATCAACAATGAAATCTCTCAAATTTCTTCTCATTTTCACAGCCGTTATTTTCATTGCGTTGGGATTCAAATCCTCTCTTCCATTAGCCACCACTCACCTCCATCTCCTATGGACTTTCTTCCTTCTATGCTTCACTCCTCCATACCTCTTCTTTACCCTCAACGCCATCATCATCTCCATCCTCGCTTCCTCCAACTTCCACCAATCCCAAACCCAACCAAACCATCCAATTCTGGACCCCACTATTCTCGTCTCAAACACCGTCCTCCTGGACGATTCACCCGCGTCCAAAGATCAAGAAATTGACCAAGTAACGAAAACAATCGACCTCGGAAATTCGCCACCGATCGATAAACCTCTCGTTTCTTCCAGGTTCATTCACCGGAAGCCTCTTAAATCCACTCCCGAAGGTAATCAACAATTTCTTAAATTTTTACAATTTAGTTTTTTTATAAAATAATGAGAAAAAAAAGGAGTTATCGTTTTTGTAAACTTTGTTATAGGTGGGAAATCGTTGAAGGTGGCCGCGAAGCAAAAACGGCACGAGACGTTGGAGAGCACGTGGAAGGCGATAACGGAGGGCCGGTCAATGCCGTTAAGTAGACACATCAAGAAGTCTGACACGCGGCAACACCGTTATGAAGTTGACCCACATCAACCAGAAGATTCTGTCGGCGATTTGAACTTGAACAAGACTGTGAGGCTGAGAAAAGAACCGTCGCTGAGTCAAGACGAGTTGAATAAACGAGTGGAAGCGTTTATAAGAAACTTCAATCACCAAATGAGGTTGCAAAGAGAAGAATCATTATTGAATCACTACAAGAACAACATTAACCGTGGCGCTATTTAGGGTAAAGTTACAACATATTTATATCTAGGCATTTTTTGTTGTTGTGCATGTAAGTTTAGGTAGGCTAATTGTGGAAGTGTATATGTTTTATACCCTGTGGTTCACGTAAGATGAACGTGGATAAAGTTCAAACATATGTATTTTTTGTGAAGAAACAAAATACAAAATCTTTTTGGGAACATCGGAATAGTTGTTGTTCGTGTTTGTCTCTAGTTAATTGAATGAATGGAAAATGTGATTATGAATACAAGAACCGGAGGACCCGGCTGCAGGCCCACCACACTAAACCTTCAATATTATGAGGTCTTGATAATTAGTAGAATAAATTAAAATAGTCAATAAGAATAATTTCTTAAAATTGTTATTCTCTTTTTAATTTATTATATTTTTTAATTTATAAGAAAGTATTGTTGGTGTAAGGTGATGAAATTGAAGAAGATGAGAGGAAAATGATAAATGCTAAAAGCTGCTACTAATGATTGACAAAAGGAATTGTATTGATTAATGAAATCTAGTACACCTATTTATACACAAAAGTAATAAAGATAAGAATGTCACATAGACCCTAAACGGAATATCCCAAAAATAATAAATACTAAATTACCCCTTTAATATCATCCCAAATTTAGTATCTATCAGAAATTAACAACACCAATTTTCTTTCTCAAACGAAGAAATTAGTCTGTTTTCATTGCATTCGTCAGAACATTTGCCAGCTGCTTCTGAGTGCTACAATACAGAACTTCTAACACTCCTTTCTGCAATTGACTTCTCAAAAAATGATACTTCGTCTCAATATGCTTGCTTCTTTCATGCAACACTGGATTCTTGGCAAGATTGATTGCAGACTTGTTATGAATCAACAGCTTCAGAGGTTTCTCTATCTCAATCTTCAAATCCTCCAGAAGGTTCAAAAGCCAAACAGCTTGACATGCAGCTACAACACCTGCAATATATTCAGCTTCATACGTTGACAGAGCCACAACAGGCTGTTTCTTGGAACTCCAAGAAATTGGACCTCCCAGAAACTTGAACAAGTAACCAGAAATACTTCTTCTGCCGACTCTGTCTCCACACCAGTCAGAATCAGAATAACTCACTAATTCTGGTTTTGTCTTTCTTCCAGAAGGAAATAAAACTCCATATTTCAGAGTTCCCTTGATATACCTCAGAATCCTGACAGCAGCTTGGTAATAAGACCACTTTTGTTTACTCATGAATCTGCTAACCATTCCAACTGCATAGAAAATGTCAGGTCTGATATTGCACAAGTACCTAAGAGAACCAACCAACTGCTTGAAGGTCGTAGCATCCACATAATCACCATCAGAATTAGAATCCAATTTATGATTGGTTTCTGATGGTGTCACAGCAACTTTGCAATTCTGCAGCTTAAATCTCTTCAGAAGTTCAAGTTCATAGTTCAGCTGATGTAGAATGATACCCTTCTTTGAGTACATAATCTCCATTTCTAGAAAATATACCATATTTCTCAGATCTGTCATCTCAAATTCATTCATCAGAACTTCTTTGAACTTGATTATATCTTCTGGACAACTTCCTGTTATCAACATGTCATCAACATATAGACACACCAGAATCATATTACCACCAGAATGCTGTACATACACGCCATATTCCATCTCACATTTCTGAAACTTCTGCCTCTTGAAAAACGAATCAATTTTCAGATTCCAAGATCTGGGCGCTTGTTTCAGTCCATACAAGGATTTATGTAACTTGTATACCATCCCTTCCTGATTCTTTTTCACAAATCCAGGAGGTTGTGACACATATATCTCTTCTTGTAACGGACCATTCAGAAATACAGACTTCACATCCAGATGTATCAAAGGCCAATTTCTGTTTGCAGCTAAAGCAATCACCAGTCAGATTGTTTCATGTCTAGCTACATGCGTAAACACCTCAAAGTAATTTAGCTCAGGTTTCTGAAAAAACCTCTAGCCATTAGTCTCGCTTTGTGTTTGCCAATTGATCCATCTGGCTTAAGCTTCACCTTGAAAACCCATCGACGCTGATGGCTTTCTTCTTTTCTAGAAGCTTCGTCAACTTCCAATTTTTGTTTCTTTCAAAAGCCTCAAGTTCTTCCTTCATGGAATTCAACCATAATTTCTTCTTGAGAGCTTCTTCAATACCCACTAGTTCAGAATCTACTAACATGGCACACTGAACGACTTCTCCTTCAGAATCTACTTCAGTATCATACAATATGCTAAAATCAGCAAACCTACTTGGTATTTGTCTGATTTTCTGTGGCCTTTGAACTTGTTCTGAAGCTTCTCTAGAACTCAGAACAATGCTAGCTTCTGGACCTTGTCTAGAACTACTTCCTTCAGAATTACCACCTTCAGTGTTACTTTTGGAAGCTTGTCCTCCAGACCCTATGTCTTCAGAGTTTTCCCTTCCAGAAAGATAATCACCACCAGATTCTGGATCATCATCCAAATCTGGATCAGAATCAGATCCACTATCAGAATCTCCCTGAGATTCTGACTCATCTTTAGAGTCTTCAGATTCATCTTCTGACTCTGACTCATCTTTAGAACTTTCTGAAGAATCTTCAGAAACTAACTATGGTGTTAGCGCTACACCAGAATCTGATTGAAGCTTGTTCCAATCCTTTGTTTTTGACTCTTTCACAATAACGTCTCTGCTAATTTCAACATTGTTGGTTTCTGGACAATAAAGCTTATAGGAACCTGTACTGTGGTACCCCACCAGTAACATTACTTTGCTTCTATCATCCAGTTTTTGTCTTCTAACTTCTGGAACGTGTTTGTAGCATACAGAACCAAACACCCTCAGATGGCTAACACTTTGCTTATCTCTAGTCCACTTTTTTAAAGGAACAATTTCCTTCAGCTTCTTCATTGGATATTGTGATACGGTGGGAGAACTGACTTGAGGTTTTGCGTTTTATCGCAAATGTTGCGGTTTAGCAAGAGTCGCCACCGACTTTTCTTTTATCCAAAAGGAAAGGTGAAAAAGCACAGGAAAGACCTTTGAGATGTTTTCTTGAGTTCGGGGGGTAGATTATGAAAAGGGAAGGTGCTAGCACCCTTTTCATCTATAGTTTTCCATGGGCTCTTAGTTACTTGCTTAGATCACTTGCTTTTGTTGTTTGAAATTTGTGTTTGGTGTGGTTTTGAAAGTATTTTATAAAAGAGGCCATTCGTTTAGGCAATATTTGTAATGATTCTCGTTCGTAAGAATGTATACAAAGATGTTTGTCTTTTGAAAATGTTTTCAATGATCAAAAGATGTTTTGAAATGTGTTTGTGTTTGTTTTGAAAATAGCAAGGATTGTTGTTTGAAATGGAGCAAGTAACTAGAAGTTATCTACCTACTCAAATGTCTTTCTTATGTATTTTCTATTCCTTTGACATTGTTGTCTTACCATTGATTTGGTAAGCAAACCTATCTTTGGATGTAAACGGGATGGACGTGGGTCATCGTATAACCATGATTAGTAATATTGCAAAGTATCTTAGCATTTTTGAGGGACCAAGATCATTTTGTAAGGCAACTTTGAATAGTGTCATCGAGGGACTATGATCTTATATTTGTTTTGTTTTGCCAAGATACTTCGCATGCGTAATATGGCCATTTTTGTTTTAGACAACCAAGTGGTGAAACCCTAAGGATGCTTGTGTGCAAGTGTATCATTTTCATATTTTGATTTTGTCTTGTATTTAGGGTTTTCTATTTTGCTTTGTTTTGTTCTTGTCATACAAACCCTAATTACTAATCATGGCATATAAAGCAATAAATTGCGTAGTGTAAATATTTCTAAGCTATTACAACAATTTATGGGAGGGGGAATACAAATTTGAATGGGGATTTGCACAAATATAAACCTAAATAAATTATTACAACCAAATCGAATTTGTACGAATTAGAAAGAATATAATACAATATTTAAAATGCAATGCAATGTACATGTAAAAAAAAAGATTTTTGTGTCTTGTTTTTATGTAAAAAGAAAATTTAATTTAAACCTAAAATATAAAGAAAAAGAATTAATTTTTAAGAGGGTTTTAATCCTAATTATCATTTAGAGAAAATAGAGTTTTTATAGGTATTATTTTGTGTATTTTCTTGTATAAAAATAATAAATAATATTGTATATAAATATAAAATTAAACATATGCAAAAATAAGTATTTATAAGTATGAAATGAAAAATAAATTAAACTAAATATGTTTAATTATATTTACAAGTTTATTTAAGAAAACAAATGATATCCTATTAAAATAAAATATATTTTTATGTGAGAAATAAAATAAAAATACAATAAAAGTGCAATATTATTAATTTACATTTTTTGGGATTTTTATGTTTTAAAGAAAATATTTAAAATATTAAACATAAAAATAAAACAAATAAAAAATAAAAATATGAGAAATTGGCAAGGGGGGTAATGCAGCAGATTAGTGGTGATGATGTTAGCAAAAAAACTCTGGCCCAAAAGACAAGCCCAACCTGCAAAAAAATGTAGAAATGGAAAAGAAAGAGTAAAAAATACAAAAGTAGCGCGCCCAGGTTCGAACCCAGGACATGGGTCTCACCAGTGCGCTACTTTGCCACTGGGATGGCTATACTTCCATTATCTTAAGTGAAACAGAAATAACATATTCTGAACCAAGTCCTTGCCCTGTTTTATCTTCTTCCTCAAGCTTTGGCCAGACATCTTGTATCTCTCTCATACTTCCATAAAAATGAAAATTCATAACATGAAAGTTGTAGTACTTGAGCACACGATTTCAACCATATAAATTATGTGAATTATTAATCAAAGAATAAAGATAATTTTAACAGCCCTAAATCTTGACCTAATATTTCCAGAAATTTCAAGTTCCAAATTCTCTCAACACAAGTAAAATCAATGCAAGATAATGGTATGTACAACTTCGTTATGATGAGGACTATATTTTTTATTCATAAATCGTGGCCTAAAGTTGCCTGTATAAGGAGATAGA